TCCAATTGGCCTCGTGGGGGTGATTGGGACCGTCGCAGTCACGATGCATTCATCGCTGAAAGTAGAGCGAATCGCCGTCCTCTATCTCCCCATTGTCTGTTGTTTCGAGATAGGAGTCAATCCCCTATAGGTGACCGATTACCGAGGGGTTCTTTTGGAGGTGGAGGTGGAGGTGGAGGTCGAGGTCGAGGTCGAGGTCGAGGTGCTCGCCGCTATGATGGGTCATATGGTGGAAACGGACGAGCGGACGACATAGATGATGCACATGGTAGAGGTTATAGGCATGGCAGTGCCCGGGTGAGGAGCCCTAATGGTTTTTAGACTGCATTATTAAATCCTTCTGTTTGTTAGAATGATCTCTGAAAATTTGCGAATCTTAGGGTTTAGGGTTTCCAGAAAGCTCCTGTAAGATCATAGATGATGATACTGTGCATGGTTAACTCTTTCAGGTTTGTTAAGTTTGTGAAAATTGTTATTATTTCTATAGTTTAGCGTATCTTTGATCTGTGATTTTAATTCTATATTTTGATGGTGTTAATGTTAGCCGCTCAAGTCTTACATTTTATTTTTATTTTTATTTTTATTTTTCATTCATATATAAAATGACTGAACTAAAATTGATTTTTTTTTTAAATTAGATATTCTTTTTTTTTCCTGTCCTATTAAGAAATTGGCTTCTTTTTTATCACAAACTTATTACTTGATAAAGCATTCCTTGAAGATGATTGATATTATGGATTTGCAAACCAACATTGGGGTTGATAAGATTCTTTGGGAGATATCTGATGAGCCTCTCCTCTTGCTCATCTATAATGGCTTTTGCTTGTAGGGCTGTTAACTATCCAATTTCGTTCCAAGTTAGGGTCGGCTCGAATAGCTCGTGGCTCGTTATATTCGATTTCAAACCGTGCCGGTTTGAAATTGGAACTAATTGGCGCAATTTGTGTTATTTGGACCCGCTACAACATGAAATCAGTTTGAAATTAGCTCGTTACTTGCTATATTTAATTTTACTTAGCATTATATAAATAATTTTTGCAAATAAAAAACATCATGAGCTGATCTAGAGTTAGCTCAAGCTGGTTCATGTATGACTCTAAGCCAACTCGGCTCTTTTAGTCCGACTGATCTCAATGTGAGTGAAAATTTAAATCGATTTTCAAACGAATAACGGTCATTAACTGGCATACATCTCCTTATTGGGTAAATCATGTTTGGCACAAGAATTCTACTCTCAGGTACTGATAGAAATATTTCTTGCCTTCATGAATGCTAGGTTTGCAATTCTGATAGGGTGAATCAATTCTACCCTTTCTTTTTTTTGTTCCTTATCTAAAGCTTTTGTCAGAGCTTCTTGGGGTTATTTTTATGTTTAGAATTATTAAAATCAATTATAAGCAAATTTGATTTATTTATCTTCTATTACTTCTCTTACCAAGCTCCTGATTCCAGACAAGAAGTCTGATGCTGGAAGTGGTGCTCAAAACTATGAAGAACAAAATACTTGGAATTCCAGTGCTGAGGAATGGGCGCAACAACGTCGTGGAACTCATGATTCTATAACATCTATTCAATAAGAGTCGCTGTTTTCTATTAAAGTTTTCAATACACAAAAGTGAAAAAAATAAGAGGCATTGCATACATATCACACAACTCTTATGTATTTAAACATCTTACACTTTTATATTTACTATATATATATATATTTAAATTAGAATGGCTGGAGGCTATTATGCGAGCCTCCAACCACTTCTAATGTGTCTAACAATTCGAATACTTCATCCTTAAGGTTAACTGTGTCAGAGTGGATTCGAACCCAAACTTGAGCGGTCTTATGCCGTGAATGCCAACCAACATGTAGGAGCGCGCGCGCGCGCACACACACATATATAAATGTGAATCGGGCGATTAACAATTTAAACCTTAAATATTTCATGACCTTCAATAAATTCATGACAATTCAAATTTCAAATGTGCTTTTTTGAATAAATATCCAACGAAATATAAATAAAATGCTAGATTACACATAATAGGTGTAATTTTAATTAAGAAAAAAATACTCCAAAATTAAGTATGCTAGCATAAATTCATCTTTGCCCAACTAAGATCTTCATTAACTTGGTTGTACAGTTTTTTGATGTTTTTATTGTAAAATCTTTGCTTTTAAAAAGATTTACATACATACCACTCAATTCCTATATGTTTACATATCTAAACTTCAATTTTAACATACATATCATCTTAATTGTACAAAAATGTGTGTATTCACCTTGATATGAAAGCTTTGCAGGGTATCAATGTAAAAAGGTTTCAAGTCTGCCTGGTAGACATGTAAATACATAAGAAGTGAGAGGTATGCAAGTAAATGCCACATAACAATACTGCTAACAATACAAAATACTATAAATAGCTCCAAGAGTTTAGTATACAGTTGTGGTTCTCCAACAAATCGATAATTACAACAAAGCATACATTTTCCATCAAAAATCAAGAAAAAGGAGAACTTACAAAGAAAAAGTTAATTAATGAATAAAGAATCATTTTTGTTCTATCATTCTGTATAAATGTACTCTGATTCCGGCCCCTCTAAATTAATCCCCAAGCCTGTAAAAACAAAAAAATAAAATTGATCCCAAACAAGGCCTAAAAAACTCGTTCTAAGCAAAATTTCAATGTGATGATTACTCACCTGAAGCTTTCCATCAGAAGTTCCGACGAGGAGAAGCTCGTCGTTGATGAAGGTCATGCATTGGACCCTGCAGTTATTGCCAGTCTGAAGGGTTCCCACTCTTGAAAGCTTCTCCTTGGACCAAACCTCCACAGCTCCAGTCTTGGAACCCAAATATATCAGTTCTGAGCTTATGGTCATGCTTCTTACTTCAAGAATGGATGGCAATGAACCCACTGGACTGTAATTTGAAGCATTCCAGATCTGTATAAAGTGTTTGGGTTTGGTTAAACTTGTATGAGATTCGAGTAGGAGATATGTTGACCCGAAAACATAGGGTCAGATGAGGGTCAACTGAAAATAATGGCTTCATACATTTGATTCTTCTTTAAAAAAAAAAAATTATTAAATTTACACCAAATGTGCTAGAATATGTAACACATTGGTTGGAAACAAAAAGAAAAAAGCTCAAAGTGTTTGGTTTAAACACTCACCCTGGCCCCAAAAAAAATAGGAAGATTTACATATATACGACTGTGAAGGAACCACTCGTCCTTCATCACGGCCTGTTGCGTCAAGCTTACGACCTGCTAACTCACCCTGACCCCAAAAAAAATAGGAAGATTTACATATATACGACTCAAATCCAATGAATTTGCACTCAAATCCAATGAGTTTGCATATCTAATAAGTTAAACTTCAATTTTTACATACATGCCGCCTTACTTATGCATGAGAAGGTATATTTCAATTGTTAAATGTTAAAATGACGGTATTTTTTACGTGATATGAAAGAAAAAATGTAAAAAGTAAGGTTTAGATGTTAGATATGTAAATACATATGAATTGGGTGGTGCGTATGTAAATGCCCAAGTTAAACCAAATCAATTAATCAAATTCATTTTGGGTATGTTGACACTAACTCATTGATAGTAAGATTAAGACAACCATCGAATTTTAAGCCATCTAAACATACATGTCAATAGAGAATTATTGCCCATCATGGCACGGACTACTTTATTTTTCTAATTTATTACTTAAACTAATCTTAATATTATTTATTTTCTTTTTTTTTCACTCATTTTACTTTGTATAAGATTTTCATAGAGATAAAACACATACACACGAACCGTGGTCATACTCCCCGATCAAGTGCTTTAAGTTTTCACTATTATTACCATACTACTTTATTTTTCAAACAAATTGTCTTTTATAAATATTCATGTATATCTAATTGCATCCTTATCCATAATTTTTTAATATTTTGTACCATGTCTAAATTGCTGGGTAACACAAATATTCTAATTTACAAATAATGGAAGATTAGCGAACTGCTGATACTATAATACTAATAGACACAAAAATGCAAGTGTTTGGAGGGTCAAATTGAAAAGAGAAAGCTACCTTAATTGCAGCTCCATCCAAAGGGGTACTTGCCGAATAGAGCAATCCATCCTGAACTTGTAATGCATTGATTGGATTAGCTTTTGCCAACAACTTCTTGCTTCCTGCTTGTATTGTGCCTAGTGTTCCTGTGGCTAGATCAATTTCCTACAAATCAAACTTTGAGTCAATAGAGAGAGAGAGAGAGAAGGGAGAGAGAGCTACAAAATTACTAATAAATTTCGAAAAAAGGAGATAGGTAGGGAAGGCTGATTTGAACTTAAGCAATAGAAGAGTAAGAAGTAATGCATAGCACATACTTTAGAAAATCAATTTTTTTTGGGGGGCATTTACATACATGGTACACAATTCCCTACGTATTTACATATATAATAGCTAAAATTTACTTTTTACTATTAAACCACCCCAATCTTTTATATCACATCAAAAATAGCACTATTTTTTAACTTTAAAAAACAAAATAGATATTTTCATACATAGGTAATGAAGTATATATGTAAAAATTGAAGTTTTAGGTTTTAGCTATGTAAAAACATAGGAATCAAGTGGTCTCTATGTCAATCTTTCAGTTTGCTCTTTCATTTTTTTTTTTGGTATAACCCACAAAATGTTGATCAAAATGGACCCCTTACTATTTACAAAGGGCCAAAAAGATCCTAGGCAATATAAAAGGACACTTTAGTTCACAAAATATTTAATTAGGGACTAAAATGATCCTCTGGAATTACTATTTTAATCCTTTTTTAAATTATTTAGAGACTAAATTGGCCTTCTTATATAGTTTGACCCCAATTTAGCCCCCTACAAATAATCAAAATATCATTCTGGTTCTTTTCTCAGCTCATAATACATAGAAGTTCAGTAGAAGCTTCAAACAACCAGAAAGAATTATTAAAAATGAAAAATAAAAAATTACAGAGTGAATGATAATGAAAGTAATGGTGATATGTTTGATAGACAATGATAAGATACCTGGATGCTACCATCACTGCAGCCACAATAAAGCTTTCCCTGAACAAGAGACAAGCATTTCACAGACTTGTTTGGATTTAGTATCTTGGAAGCACCATTCCATGTAAGTACCTAATTACCAAAACAATCATTGAGAACTATTTTATCTAATTTCAAAGATCATGTCGCATAATATTTTTTTCTGATTTATTTAACTGAAAAAAACAAAATTATTGAAGATTTAAATTACTCTCAATGCATAATTACGTTCTCCGTGATCTGGAAATAGCATGAAGAACACTTCTATTTTGCTTTAAAGGACTTGTGTTAAATTGATGTAAAATTAGCAAATGACAACTAACATGGAAAGTGCCAAAATCGTTCACTAACTTTTTGCAGGGGTCATTTTTGTCTAAAATTCTATAAAAGTGTCAACTTAGTACCCAGATTCTCTTAATATGTGCAGAAATAGTCTTCATGAAGGATTATTTCACCCCACTTTAAAGAATCTGGGGACTAATTTAAGACTTTTATAAACTATAGGACGAATATGGTATCATGTAAATAGTCAGGACTATTTTGACACTTTGCTCAAACACTATCCTTCTTAGATTTCGGATGAGACCAGTTTTAAAATGAATATGCATAAAAAAGGGTGGCATTTACATTCACGCCACTCAATTCTTATGTATTTACATATCCACTTACCTAAACTTCTCTTCCCAAAATTTTAACATCACAGCAAAAATACTATTATTTTTTGACTTTTAAAAGGTGAAATGCACCTTTTCATGCATAACTAAGCTGGCATGCATGTAAAAATTGAAGTTTGGGTGTTGCATATGTAAATCCATAAGAATTGTGTGCTACAAATGTAAATTCTCCCTTCCCGCCCCCTCTTCACCAAGAAAAAGACAGATACACGAGAGGAATTGACGGAATTGTCAGATACCTTGACGCCAGCTCCCTGTGGAATGAAACAAGCCATATTGTTTGCAATATTTAGATTATGAACTTGATCCTTCGTATCATGAAATTCCATGCAATTAATGTGTCCATCATGCAAAGACCAAACCTGCACTAGAGCATTGTGACTTCAATGAAGGTGTTTGTTCCAAGAGAAACTTGAAACAAAAAATTTATTACATACCCTTACAAATTTATATAAAATATTTATTACATACCCTCACAGATTTATCAACCGAACCACTAAACAGTTTTTTTCCGGACTGTAAAACTGCTAAGCTGGTGACAGCCTTTGTGTGTTCTCGAGTTTCTTGGATCTGATGAAGAAGTTTATCTCCACTACCCCATACCTATAGATCTTTTGTTTGTCAGCACAAATTCTATGGAACAATAAAATCGTGACTATTTCATTTTCCTTTGACCAAAAAAAAAAAAAAAGCAAAGGATGGTGACGAAGTTGATTAAGAGCTTAAAGATAGACAATGCACACACACATAAAAACATGAGTGTAAAGGAGTCGAGTCGAGCTCTAGCCACCCAAGGCTTGATCTTGATTAAATAATCGAGTTCGAGCTCGAGCTCGAGTTTAATTCTACAAGTTCAAGCTGGCTCACAAGCCCATTTGTTTATTATGAATGAGAGAAAATAATATTAACTCAAACTAGTGTTATAACAAAATAACAAATATAATGAAGAATTAAGAGATAAATAATAAAAAATCATTTGATACTAAATGCAAATTAACATTTTTAAGCAAGTTTAATAATTTAAGGAATAAGAATTGAAATTTACTAAATTTTGAGTATATTTTATAATAATATTTTTTAAACAATTCAACTCAGGAGCTAACGAGTCAAGTTGGGACTAGATTGAGCTTTTGGCATCTTAGCTCGCCGAGTTGAGCTCGAACGAGCTCACGAGTTGGCCTAGCTTATTTACGCCTCTACACACACTCACACCTATTAGCTATTCAACTCTACGTCAGTAATCATCAAACTCTTTCAAACTGTTAAAATTTGGAATAGACCAGCACTACTTTATTGATAAAAGAGGGGGTATTTAAACTCAATTATAATAAGCACAATAAAAAAAGAAATAAAATAAAATAAAATAAATAGGAAAGGATAAAATAGAGTAAAATAGAAAAGAAAACACATAATAAGGGAATTAAAACTAATAGACAAGAAATAATAAGTAATAATGGCGAGGGATTTGATTAAGATTTAATTGTCATTATAAATCTAATACAAACATAACAAAGCCGGAAGAGACTAGCTTCCATGTGTTATGTAATTAATGCTTTCTAGGTGAGACCAATTTACCAATATACATTTTAAAGCATTTGTTCCAATAATCAAATAAATTAAATGCTGGTTTCGTAACTCCAGGCAGTAAGTAACATTAGAAGGGGTCAACTTGGGCTTATTCGGCTTTCTAATTAATGCTAGAGACAAAAAAATGATAGAAATAAATGAAAGGAGGCATTAATTAAGTATTTATATATCTCACGCCTAAATTTTCATATTTACACGCACGACACTTAAATTTTTAATATCACAAAAAAAATATTATTACCGTTTTTTAAAAGAAATAGACATTTTATGCATAAAATTTAAAGCGCCAAATTGTTTTGCATGTAAATATGAATGTGTAGGTGTGAGATAAATAAATACAAAATAATTGTGTGTTCCGTACATAAATTTCTCCAAATATGAAGAAGGAAAAAGAAAATATGGCTTTGTTGTACATTAAATTCAAAAGATCCATAAACTAGCATAATTAGCATAAAATTAAAACTTCACAAAATTCCATAGCTTGGAAAGAAAATTAGATCGAGAAAGAACACAAAATTGTGACTCCTCATCATTGGTCTGGTTTAGTATAGAGACAGTTCCAACAACATGAAAGAGACTGCTACTCAGAATGAGCATGATGTTTTGTGTTAACTGCACTATTATTCTATTAGAGAAACTATACTTGAACCATCTGAAGCTAAAAGTTTTCACTCAGCTTCATCATTGAATATTTAATATAATAAAAGAGTTGTGCAAAGTACTTTAGAAGAAAACTTGAAAATTCCACAAGTGAGAGCTAGTCATTGAAAAAAAAGCTAGCAATTAATCGGAGCTGAACACTTTCATGGCCACTTCAGCACTAAATTAGAGCAGCTGCTAGGAGTTCTCTCCGAATGTAAGCATACTTTAACAAACGAAGAAATTAATATATTAAACTAGATTTTATGGAATTAAACAAGGAGTAAAATGCTAAAATAGTCGCCTGACTATTTACATGGGGTCATTTTAGTCTCATAATTTGTGAGTGTCAAAATAGTCTCTAGACACTTTTGATATGAATTAAAATAGTCCCCATTGAAGACTATTTCAGCCCTCATTAAAAGAATTCGGGGACTAAATTGACATTTTAATAGATTATGAGATTAAAATGGAACTCTACAAAAAGTGACTAGAGAACCATTTTGATGCATTTCTTATTAAACAAGCATATTTTAACTTTAAAAACAACTGGAATAATCCATCTTATATCATTTTGACGCTTTTCTAATTCCCATAATTAAGCAATAATCATATCAGTAGAGGTAAATGGAATCGAACAATCGTTTGATGAATTGAAAAACAAGAATGGCTGGACCTTTACCATAATTGTTCCGTCCGAGTGTCCTGAAATAATCCTATTCTTGAAGTAAGCTATTGATAGAACTTCCCCATGAATGCTACAATCTACCTGAGCCTTTACTTGATGATTCCACATCTCCAGCTAGCAGAAACGGAAAAGAATTTTGTAAAACATTCCATTTTTTAAAATTTTGGGCCTTTACATACAAAGCACACAATTCTTATGTATTTTCATGTCTCACAGCTAAATTTTCGTATTTATACATATAACCTCAAATCTTTAATATCACATAAAAAATAGCACTGTTGTCACTTTTTTAACACGTTTTTAAAGTAAAATACACTTTTTTCATTCATATTTTTAAAACAACAAAGTGCTATATATGTAAATATGAAAGTCTAGGTGTGAGATATGTAACATATGAATTGTATGCTAGGCTTGTAAATCTCCCATTTTTTTAAAGCTAACAGCAGAGAGTGACAAGAATACATCAAACTCACCATACATGATTCTTGCCCACGGCATAAATGCTTTAGCATTTCATTGGCCAAAACATAAGACTTCTTCAGCTCTCTTAGAGTTTTTATCATATCCTTGATATGGAAAGTAAGGTCATGCATGCCCTCTGAAATTGAGCATTAACAAAAATAGATACTAAAAAGTTAAAATAGCACATCATTGCATGCATGGCATAATTTTTGGTTAGATGTTGAAAGCCACTTAGCAACAAAAGAAAACTTCCATCGCATAATTTACAAGCATTGAAGTATTTGTTTAGGTCTGTGAATGAACCAATGCACTTGATAAACAAATTGAACTCGACTCAATTACTACTCGATCATGTTTGTTCAATTAATAAATAAACAAATTTGAACATTTTTTTCAAAATTTAACAGTTAAATGAACTAAATTTGAACATAGTTTAGCTTGTTTATTAATGTTCATGAACAAACTCAATTGTTATTTAACAAATAACTTCTTAAATGCTCTGTGATTATAAGATATATTATTTAAATAAAATTTAAGTAATTACAACTTATGTAATTATATATTTAATAATAACACATTACAAAATGTTCTCTGATCATTTAAAGGGCATACCAGTGTCATTCATGAAGCTGCTAAGGGCTAGCATCGCGAGTGCTTTGTCATCAACATCATCTGCAGACTTGAGAACCAAAACAAAATGTTTGAGCAAACAAACCCGGGCAGCACCACGAAGCCCCGTATCAGGAAGAATAGAAAGCATGTAAGTAAGCCAACTTGCGGAGATAAGACAAGCTGAAAAGAGGTCTCTATGTTCACTCTTAAGCCCTTCAGCTAAAGCCTCGAACAATAACCCAAATTCATGGCTAACTAGTGCATATGCCATTTTTCTTTCCCAATCATCAGTAACCTTATCTTCTTCCTGCATTGCATGATGAAAGATAATATAGTTACAAAATGAAACAAGTAAGACTTACAAATATACCATACAATTCTTATGTGCTTATATATGTAACATCTATATGTTAATATTTACTTGCATATTTCACTTTGGAAAAGTTAATGTTAACAAAAATTTTGATGTGATTTAAAAAGTTAGGTATTATATATATAAATATTCATATATTAAAAGTGAACGTATTAGAAATGTAAATACATAAGAATTGTGTGGTACGTATGTAATCCCCAATGAAAATTTCATAATTAGCGAAAGCAAAAGATGAAACCAAAAAGAAATTGAAGACTCATTGGTCTAGAAAAGGCAAAGCAGTGACATAAAGATATGCATCAAGCATCTACTTGAACTTAATTCCATGTCATTCATGCATTCACTTTTTAATGTTTGGAAAGAGGCGATTAGCATTTTAAGTATGATACTGGTTTGAAGAAATATATAAACATTTGTCCACAATTGAAGTATCTATAGATTTTTTACCATTGAATATGATAAGTCTTGAAAACAAGCAAGTAGAAAGAGAAATATTGACCATATAATTATATAAAACAAAATTTATGTAAAGGCATTTCATTGACGAAATGTAAGATTAAATTTTTTAGCTAAGTGTAACACTGTTATGATGAACAAGTTTTTCAAACACTAACCAACTTTAAATATATACTTCAGTAGAAAGAATTTGTAGTTTGGGCCAAAATATTTTAGAAAAAAAAACACTTTTTCCCTAATGATCTTCTATTTCATCGTTCTACCTCAAATATACAAAAATCAAACAAAATGAAAGACATAACAAAATAATCTTAAGAGCTAGATTCATCGTTAATTTAGCACATTTGAAGGTTTTCGAGGTCCCTTTAGTGTAATACATTCAACATTTGCATTTAAAATAGAATTATACATATATAACAACCATTAGAATTAGTAGTGAAAAAAATAAAGGCTAACCAAATTTTCATCAGAGTTATCTTGATTATAGTCAATCTGGTCTGATCCCATTAATGGCCTGCTCGTCTTCTTCAACCCTGCTCGTCTTAAAAGAGAAGCTCGGGTAACAGTCTCCCCTGAGGAAGAAAACCTTCCATGAAGGGATACAATTGTCTCAGCAGCTAGAAGTTGACTATTGTTGATGTCTGGATTTCTGAGGCATGAGATAAGGGCATCTATGGCTTCTTCCCGGTATATACTCGCCTTCCTTGGCTCCACCTATGTGAATCAAACTGTTAAATTTGTAAAAAGTGCAATTATAGAAAATGATTAAACCATAAGCAAATCTATACAATTTAAAGTTTCGTTAACATGCACATGTTCGATGATGCATGCTTGGAAAGAGCCCATAAACTCAACAAATACCATAAATCTATAATTACTACAGTTAAATCTATAATTACTACAGTTAGTGAGCACATGAAGATCATGCGCATGTCCAGCAAGAGAGTATTTCATAATTAAATTATCACCGGTTTAGAACGTTCATTTATTAAAAATTTTGGATTAAAAAAATAACGTATTTGGATCACAGTTGATTGGTATACAGAACAATCAAAGGAAAGTACAGTAAATTGCTGATAAAGATCAAATTTTGGAAAAATACCATGTTAATGTGCTTTACAGGGTCTATTGTTCAAAGTGATGGTTATATAGATGGGGAATATTATTAGTAGAATTTAAGTTGGATGGCTGAAGCGGAGGAATGCATGGGGCCTATTGTGTGATAGAAAAGTATAGCTTAGACTCGAAGGAAAATTTTGTAAGATGGTGGTGAGACTGCAATGCTTTATGCGCAAAATGTTGGCCTTTAAAAGAGAAGCATAAAACAAGATGGTGGTTAGACTGCAATGCTTTATGCGCAAAATATTGGCCTTTAAAAGAGAAGCATAAAACCAAGTTAAGTGTTGCTAAAATGAGAATGCTTAGGCGGACGAGTGGCTTGACACTTAGATAAAATGCAAAACCAATACATCCTTGAAAGGGTTGGTGTAATTTCTGCGACAGGCCAGATTAGAGAGAGTTGCCATAGATGGTTTGGTCACATTAACGTCGACCACCTGATGATCTCTTCAGAAGAGTAGATGCTTTAGATTCGATTTACGTTAAAAAAAGTAGAGATGGACCTAAGAAGACTTAGTGTATAAAAAATGATTTTAATTTATCAAAACTAGATGAAAACATGACACTTAATAGGACAAATGGGAGAAAAAATAATTCATCTTGCCGACCCCACTCAGCGGGATAAAAGCCTCTTGTTATTGCAATGTGCTTTACAGGCATGCAAGCAATGAAAAAACTGGTGACATTTTAAATATAAGAAGCGCCATCATCAATTCACATTCCCCAATTACACTCAAACAGGAAAGTAGTAAATCAATTCTCCTATAAACTTCTGATTTATGGAAGCAAGCAACAATTATATATGAAAAATAAGCATGCAAAACAAATGCAACATCTCCATGATGATGATGATGATGATGATAATGGTGATAATGATGGCGGTGACGAGGATAACTAGGCAGAGGACAATAATAATTATAAAAGACCAATACCAAAATGTCAAGTTGAAGAAGAAGACCCGCAATGATTGGAGACTGATCCTGTAGAGCAGTCTGTAAATAAACAACGAGCGCATGCATCGTGCTAAATTTACCACCATCTTTTATAATGTGAAGAAGCCTCTCATTATATGTCCTCCTTTAAAATAGGAAACAGTTGTATCAGCAGCCATATCATCTATTCTAAGAAAACAAAGAGCTTAAAGGCAAAACATTTTGTAATTTCAAAAATCTATGCAATGTTACGGTAAAATGATTACTTCCAAAAAGGTAGGGGTGTTTACATACATACCACCCAATTCCAATGCATTACATATGCAGCACCTAAAATTTATTTTTTACACTTATACCACTTAAATCTTTCATAACATATCGAAAATACAACTGTTTTACCTTTTAAAAAGTGGAATACACCTTTTCATGCATAGGTAAGGTGGCATATATGTAAAAATTGAAGTTTAGGTGTTAGATAAATAAATACATAGGAATTGAGTAGAGTGCATGTAAATCTTCCAAAGAAAGTAATAATGAGAATAATTTTCAGAGAGCATGTAAATCTTCCAAAGAAAGTAATAATGAGAATATTGAGTAGAGTGCATGTAAATCTTCCAAAGAAAGTAATAATGAGAATAATTTTCATTACCTGTCTAACTTAACCAACTCAAAAAGAAATCGAACAATTTCAAAACGTTCCATGTCACCAACAGTGGCGAAGTTTTCTAGGATGATTTCCAGTTTAGCTTTGCCGGCAATCACGTGCCTGCAATTCCCATCTACTTCCATGCACCTAACTAAGATCCTGATTGCAGCCATCCTCACCTCCTCCAAATCAGCAGCCAAACTCCAAATAATACTCTCAACAACTCCTTCAGAAATCAAAACATCAACAACATCTGCTGAAATTTTATGATCGCTTGCCAGAATCTGCTGCAAAAGAAGAATAGAAGCAGTCTTGGGCTTCATACACGAGATAGAAGAATCATCTTCTCTGCTCTTCAAAACCATTAGCAAGGCCTCAACCATGTCCATTTCTATAAGTCTTTCCCAGGAAGGATGCAACAAATAAATCAACACAACAGCCTCTGCCAGTCCTTTCTTGAACAGTGCTGCCATGCATTCCACATCTGAATCAGCACTACTCAGGGTCTGAATAACAAGCTTGTCCATGGAGGCCAGCTCAGAAAGAAGGAAAACTGATGTTCTAAGCACTTGCAGATCAATGGAGTTAAACAATATCTCCACAAACCCATTAACCACAGCAGGTTTCGAAAGTGCTGAAACAACTTGAGATCCTGCACCGCTTTCTCTCCAGAGACGCTCGATCTGAAGAACAGCCATCTCTGCTTCACTCAAAACATCTGATGTACAGAGGGTGTTAATGGCAAGTGGAAGATCACCTGTAGCGCCATCAACACATGCTTTGGTAATGACAGTAGTTGGGGAAGGTGAGCGCTTTAGTGGATTTGGCTGACTGAGCTCTGGAGAAGGGCTCCTCAATGAAGGAGTTACAGTCGAATAAGCATTTTCTTCTCGCCAACTAGCTATTAGTCTTTTGAGCACGTAATTTGTTTTCGGCAATTTGGAACTATGAAGCTTTTGTCGAGTGATCGGGCAAGTCATATTTCCACGCTCCAGCCACTCCTGTATGGCTCTACGCTCGTAAGTCTGACCAGTCTCCAACGTCACTGGGTCGTCGAATAGGTTGCTGGTTATGGGGCACACGAAATCCTTCGGTGGAGCGGGCTTGCTCGAGGCGAGAAATTTGTCGTCATCGATCATCGACAGGTCTGAAGAACTGAAGCTAGACAAGACAAAGATCAGAGTTGATGAAACTCATTCTCTTTGGAAAGAAAAACTACACTAACCAGCTGTAAAAAATCATTTAATGAGATAAAAAAGCAATCTTGGGAGCATAAATGCAGGACTTAAACTAAATTTTACAATGAACTCCACAAACATACCAAGTAGAGTCTATGGATGTCTGTTTCTTCCTCTGGTACTCGGTTTTAAGCCTCAAAGATGGCCTCTTTCTATCTTCCTCCTACAGACAAGCAATGAATGAAATTTACTAGCTATAAACCATGAGAATCAAGATTGATACCACCGAAAAAAGTATTATATTATTTATTTTCAGTGTCAAGATTTTGACCCCCATGTCAGGTTCGAGGTCGGAAGAAGATTCATCAGAGTTTTCAGCCGAAGAAAATGCTTGGACAGCATCCAAAATGATATTTTTTCTGTTATTTATAGTTTCAGTCGAAGGTTGCCGGAAAAGCTGTGGAGGCACTCTTTGAGGATACAGGGAAGGAGCCCTTTTATAGCTGCACTGTCCTTCGTTGATTTCCCCGTTAGAAAATTCTGTAGATTGATCTGCTTCAGCCCATATCGGCTGCCATAACGAAATCAAAGGCTCTGTGAATTGGAAGAAGCTAATGGAAGGAAAAGTAGTTCTAGCTGCATCTATACTATATTTTACAAAATAAGGATTGTTACATCATGCAGTAAAAGAGGCAAATTTCAGATCATTTGAGATGTTTTTTGAAATATTTAGCCATTGGATTTGAGACTTCTAACTCCTTTATAATGGCCATAGAAGAGACATAGATTCATTTTAAAGGGCAGGTCGGCTCCAAGTAGGATTCAGTGAATTCAGTAAACACAGATTGAAAAAAATTTAGAGAATTTAAGAGCTATGAAGAGAAGAATTACATTAAACCGTCCATTTGTCGATCCTATATCCCCCCTACCAATCGCCTCATCCACCATCTCATTGATCTCCTCTTCCACTCCATTAAGCGCCGGGAAAACCAACTCCGGCGGACTTATCCCATCCCCCGATCTCAAAAGCTCCTTTAAGTACCCCGCATAAACCCTAGAATTCTCATCTATCACCCCCTCGTATGTATTCTCAAGCTCCCTCAGCTCCGTCGCCTGCCCGTCGCTCATCCTAGACAGCAACGTCATCGCTGCAACCGCCGGCCTCCCTTCCTCCATTGACGATAGAATCCTTGACCGCCGCTCAGCGAACCATCGCACCGCCGGAAAAAGGTGTGGAAGAAAGAGTTCCTCGAAGAGCTCCGGCGCGATATCGCCGCGGGCTGCGGCGGGATCGAGGGCGAAGACGTCAATGAGAGCCCGCGCGGCATCAGAGTGGCGGCGGCGGAGGGCAAGGGAGATGGCGAGGAGGAGGGCGGAGAGGGAGGACGGATTGGCGGCGGCAGCGGCGGCAGTATT